TCTTTCCCTTTTTCTTTCCCACTTCTTTTCTCTCTTCTCCCTGCCCACCCCACACTGGAAGTGGTCATCTTCGCTTGCAAAGGACGAATTACACCACAATATAATAATAATCCTTGGTTGGTATAAATTTACAGTTGTACTGCTATACCTGCTGGAGATCTGGCTTATACATCTAACTCTTAGCAGATTCTGTGTGACCATAACTCGGCTTTCCTTTTTGTGCCACTTTTTCTCTATCTGTATGAGGATAATGGACTTGATTCTCCTTGCATATTATCCCACGTTAAGCAGGAATAGTTTAACTGAAGTCTAAGACCTTGACCTCCTCTCACTGGCACCAGTGCACCTCTGGACTGATTTCATTGGAGTCAATGGTGCTATATCAGCATGTTCTGGTGGGTCGCTGAATTGGGCTGAGTGATATTATGTTGATGTAAGTCAAATCTGTTATAGTCAGTGATGTTGTCCTGGTGTGAATTTGGAGAAACTCCACACATCAGTATAAATCAGAAGAAACTCCATTGAAGTCAGCAATGTTCTCTTGATATTAGTAAGAGGAGAATCAGACCTAGCAATAGCTATTTGCTAAACTATGCCAGAGTTAGCTATTTTTTCAGCATGCAGAAAGCTTTGAGATGCTTGAATGAGACATGCTAGAGAAGGGCAAGGACTGGTAAAACTAAATTGACCCATCCACAGCTTATTCAGAACTACCTCTCTCCATTGTTAAGAAGAAGTACTTTTGCCACGTAGGCTAGCGTCCAGAAACCTACCATTACTTTTCTCTGAGTGGTTCAAGTTTAGCATCCTTAACTCCTCCGACAGCTCCAAGTCTAAAAGGGAAACAGAAGAATGGGACTATTCCATGCATCTAAAAGTCAGTGGGCCAGATCCTGGGCTAGCACAGCAACGTACAAATGATGACACAAGATCAGACCAGGAATGCATCTGGTCCAGTATCCTGCCTCCACTAGCAGCTTCAGAAGGTGCACTGAGGTGATAATTTCCCATCAAGGCAGGTTTCCTTCCACCTCCCACTGATGAAAGGTTGGTTTATGTCTTGAAGTCAATGGGGCTATGTTGGTTTACAGCAGTTGAGATTCTGGCCTAATGGAATGGTTTTGGCTTTATGTAGGTATAGCCAGGAGGAGAATCTGACCTGTTATTGTGAGACTGATGGCTCTGAATTTACAATGGCATCCAGAGGAGCCTTGCTGGAACAGGATATGGCATGAACTTTGTCTGTAGCTGAATGGGACTTGGCTGAATTATTGGAGCAGGGATTTCTCTGGGGCTGCTGGTAACTCCTCACGTTCAGGAATAGCACAAGCCTGTTTAGCACTCAGCGGTAAAGCAGGGTTACTTGTATGCATGGATCTTGATATCTTAGTTGCCCTGCATCTTGTGCAGTCATTCACACCAGTACAAGATGGGAATAAACTACTGGTTATGTTGGGAGGCTGACAGAATGGGGAAGAGAATACAGGGCTTATAGTATTCCCTGTAAACCAATGGTTTCTGTTACAGCAAATTTTTCCCTGAGTGTGAATGAATGCGAAAGGCTTGGGACAGTGGAAAACAAGGCCCAGAGATTCATCATTTCAGTGGAGTTACTCTGGATTTACAGTAGTATAGCAAATGTGAGAGAGAGAAGATGAAGCTGTTTCACCAGCGTTACTGAGATTGTACGAACGTAAACTATGTATACATATATATTGGGAGGTAATTTGGTGCTAGTGTCACTGAAATCTGCATGCATATTGCCATTACTTGTGTGTATATAGTGGGAGTGCCTTGTTACTCAGTAGCTGAGTTTTGTGTGTATGCACATGCATCAGGGATGTTTTTCACTAGTGCAGGGCTGCCCACGTGGCCTGCTAAGAGTTAAACTGCAGCTCCCTGGACTCTCTCCTGGGCACTGCAGCCCCCATTGCTTTGTAGTCACCAGAGCTCCCTCTCTCCTCCTGCTTGTGCATCCCGTCCCTGTCCCTGCGAGCTGGATGGCATATCTGGGGAGCCTGCGGTTCTGAGATCCACATGGCCTCATGCAGCGGAGGAGTGCAAGGGAGACAGTGAGGTGGAGAGGGTGAGGGAAGCCCATATAGCGGGGAAAGCACAGCAGGGGAATGCGGGGGGAGGCATGGGAGAAATGGCCCAGTGGTGATGGGAGTCCATGGCAGGGAGCCCCTGGGCATGTGGCCCCTCAGCCAGTGAGAAGTTGGACAACCCTGCACTAATGTAACAAACCCAGTAACTGTATGTGGTGAAGAGGTAAGAAAAAGTTTCTAACTGTTGCACTGCCCCCCTTCTGTCCCTGCAGCATCCTAGTCCTAAAACAGATATGCTGTTTCAGAGACATGTATCATATCCTCCCCTCTCCCACATCAAGGTATGCACACGTGTCAAAATTTGTTTGTGAACAGTGGGACTTACATTTTGCCAGTGCAAAGGAGAGGGAAACTGCCCATATTGCAAAACAGACCACCATCAGGATATATAAAACCACAATGGACTTCTCCTTGCAACATCTATCTTGAGCCGAGGGAGGCATTGGGTCAGCTGGAGAGAGCAACATCAGTTAGAACAATCTACAATTGTGTCCCCTGCCTCCATTCTACTATATTTGCAGGATTTCCCAGCAGGAAGAATCCCAGAACTATTCCCCTCAGGCTAGGCTCTTGAATTTCAAGAAAAACTCCATGGTTATTTAAAATGTTTTGGAATCATCGTAGCTTGCATCAAAACAATGGTGATGACTCTTTCAAAAGAGTAACAGGAAGAGTGGTGCAGGGGTTAGAGGATGGTGGACATCTTGGATTCAGGACTAGTTCTCTTTCCAGCTGTCAGAAGGGAGTGGTGCCTCATGGTTGGTCTGGGAATCAGAACTCCTGGATTCTGTTCCTATTGGGGAATGGAGTCTAGTGGTTAGACGGCAAGAGTGAGAAGTTGGGGAAGGAAATGCAGGACCTTCTTGTTGCAAGGGTACAGTTCTCAATGTTGTCCCAGGCATGGGTGTTGTGCTGGCTCAGTGTGGGTGGTAGGGCAAGTCAGAGATATTGGAGTTTTACCTTTGAGACACTAGTTCCAGTCTACACCATTGACTTCTGAAAAGAAGTGCTAGAGACTCCATGAAGTCTAATAGAGATGTTGTTTTGATTTTACATGAAAGATGCTAAGGAACTACTTGCTGGAAAGTAAACTAAAGCTGAAGACATATCCAGTCGACAGTGACCAGAAACACACCTTTCTCATGGCTGCTTTGTGACCCATCTGAATCCTTTGACTCTGAGCAACTCACATGGCATGGTTTAAGGAAAAGTTGACTGTAGGAACCCTGACTTACCTGTCTCAATAGGACTTGAAGCTGCTGGTTTCCCTGCTAGCACATAAACCCCTACAGATGGGAAGGAAAGTGCAAGCATTAGAGGAAGGTGTGAGTTCAACATGGGTCAGACAAGCCTGTTTCTCCAGCATGTGTCATTGCTTGGCAATAAGGAGTGAAATTCATTTCTGGTGAAAATCCCATTGACTTCAGGGAATTAATACAGTCCCTGGAATGAAGAGAATGAGGAGAAGAGCATATTCTACCTGGGACAGCTTTGCTTCCCTGGTTTGCTTCAGCTGGCACCCACTGCGGTCTGTGATTTCCTGTCTCAGTCAAGGACACATCATCATAATCCTCCTCATCAGCAAAGCTATCAGGTGAGTCTAAACAGAAGAGAAGAATTCATCACAGTGCAACACTTGGCAGACTATACTATACTGTGCTATCTGATTTTGTGGTCTAAATGAATTCAGCCCTGAGCAGTGTCATGTGGGAATCTGATTCAACATAGGAATGTATATTACTTATATAGATTAAGTGTAATAGTATTACGCTAAACATATGAATAAGATACACTATATTCTCCATGTGAGACTCTCGGTAGCTTTGGATCTACAGGACTTTATACTACCTGCAACAAGTTTTTTTACAGGCTGTCCTCATTATTGCTGGAAGGATGAGACTGTCACTTAGTTCTTTTGAAGCTTGATTTGCTTTTTCTTTATAGTGATACACATCTGGAGTAACTCCACTGAAGTTAGGAGATGTAGGGTTTGCCTACAAGGTAAATGGAGTAAGTGCAGCTGGAAATACTTTATGATCATAGGCAGTTTTTCAAGGGTCAGGATTCAATTCTCTTATACCTTGACACCTAGAAGCCAACAGGAGATTGGGATTCCACACTGTGGGTAGGATCCTGATCATTTGTTAGGCTTCTAGGTGTTAAGGAAATACAAATAGTAATAATTTTTTAAAAGTATAGAGAGGTGGAAAATTTCGTTCCTTAAACATAGGTCTCAAAGTACCTTTTATGTGTTAGTTGAAATGTATCTCCAGTTCATGAATGAGAAAATCAAGATGCACATAAAATGTGGACTTGCCCAAGGCCACACAAGGTTCCCAGCTCTGACTGATTTGAACCCGTCTCTGCTGTGTCATGTATGTCAGGTTTGAGTCACAGGGCAGCCGTGAGGCCCCCTGGTGGCCATGGGGCTCTGACCCAGCTCTGTCTCTAAGGCAGGGGTGGGCAAAATGCGGCCCATGGGCTTGATGCGGCCCACCAGGCCATTCTATCCGGCCCATGGGGCCCCTAAAAAAATTAGAAAATTAATATATATCTGCCCCTGGCTGCCTGGCATGTGGCCCTCGATGGCTTGCCAAAACTCAGTAAGCAGCCCTCCACCCAAAATAATTGACCACCCTGCTCTAAAGGCTCCTATACACATGCAGGGAGCATGTTGGAACAGACTTGATTAGTTGAGTCCACTGGAGCATGGTAATTACTGCACTCCAGCATCATTGTGTTTATTAGCATCCCTGTGCTGAAAAATGGTGGTGGAGTGCTTTAACTAAAGTTTGTTTGACCTGCTTTTGTTAAAGCGCCCCTGTCACCATTTTTCAGTGTGGGGACACCAATACGTATGATGCTCTGGGCACTTTAATCAGTGCAGATCTTGAAGCCACGCTAATTAACCCCCCCCCCCCGCACCTCCTGGAGCATGTCTATAAATGCCCTAAAGTAGCACTTCCTTGTCTCCTAGCCTACCCCACCTTGTTCTTAATTAAGATTAAATAAGGGAGGCTGCCCTTGGGTTTTGGACTGAGCCTTAGTCCAACCAAATCCCTCCTGGACTCTACCACCCTCACTCCAGCTGTTAAGCTCACTGGACCCTTTGGGCTTGTCTGTGCCCCCTGCAAGGCACCTGCAGCCTTAAGGGCTAATTGCATATTCATACCTCTCCAGGGTACCCATAACCTTAAGGCCTCATTGCATGACTCCGTCCTTCCCTACACCATGTCCCATGCCTCACACCTCACAGGTGTCATATGCCTCACAGGTGTTATTTTATAGTCATTTACCTTATAGAGGTCTTGGCTTTATCAACATCCTCCCCTTATGCTCTCACGGGGCCTTTAGCCCAGGCCCATAGTTCTGGATCTGGCTTCTAGGTTCCTGCCTTCCTAACTGCAGGTCCCTGACCCTGTCAGTCTCTAGCAGTGCTCCCTCTTGGACCTTGGGCCCTTCCTAGACCCTAGTCCTGCTCCTGGGTCAGTAGAGATCTCTAATTTCACTGTCAGGTCTGGAGCCGAGCTACCAGGAGCTCCTCTTTTTGTGGCTCTCAGGGCTGGACTGGCTCAGGCACTTAGATGGCTCAAGCCCTGCCCTCTCCCAGACAGGTGGGTCCTTAATCCGCCTCCCTCCACCACCTGGAAGCTGTTTCTCGAGCAGCTTCTTCTCTTAAAGTGTTACAGGTGTCTGTCAAGTTTCCCTCTGCTTTATGCTGTGGTCCAGAGCGTGGCCAAAACAGCCACGCAGACAGCCTGATCATACGGGGAAAGCAATACAACTGACTCACCTGATCTGAAGTGACTCATATGTTCTGCTTTCCCTGCCAATGAATAAGTCCCTGCAACAAAGAAAGGAAAGAGTATTATTTGGAGAATGTGGGAATTATCTACAACAAGGTTCCCAAACTTTTTCTTACTGGGTTCCCCCTTCCAAATTTACCAGTTGCCTGTGTACCCCTACCAGCATATGTGTTATATTTTAACCCCTTAAGTGCCAATTATTATTATTATAATGAAAATTAAAACCACCGTTACATAATTAGTCCTTGTGGTTAAATTGGGAAAATGCACCCTCAACTACTTTATGGTCTGGTAGCTAGGTAATTGGCTCCGGTGTAGGACCCAAAGGGTATTTGATTGATGGAAATGAGTCATCATGGCGGAAGGTGACCAGTGGTGTCCCTCAAGGTTCAGTACTGGGATCAGTGCTCTTCAATATGTTCATCAACGATTTGGATTCGGGTATTAAAAGTGAACTGGCAAAGTTCACTGATGACACCAAACTATGGGGGAGTGTGGTCATGCTACAAGACAGGCTGGCAATACAGGCCAACCTGGACAGGCTTGTGAGGTGGGTGGGTCTCAACCTGATGTTGGTGAATATGGAGAAATGTAAAGTGCTCCATGTGGGGAGAAATAATCCACTACACACTTACAGGCTGAGCAGTGCTGTGCTTGCCGATACCACAGCTGAATAAGACCTGGGTGTCATGACTGCCAACAAAATGAACATGAGCCACCAATGTGATGCTGTAGCTGGCAGAGCTAAACCAAACGCTGGCATGCATCCAGAGGCATCTTGAGCAAGGCTGAGGATGTCATCCTCCCACTCTACTCGGTCTTGGTAAGACCGCAGCTGCAGTACTGCATCCAGTTCTGGGCACTGCACTTCAGGAAGGATGTGGAGAAGCTTGAGAGTCCACAGGAGGGCCACATGCATGATTAGAGGCGTAGAGACCAGGTCATACGAGGAGAGGCTGAAACACTTGGGACTGTTCAGCCTGGAGAAGAGAAGACTCAGAGGCAACTTGGTGGCAGCCTATACGTATATCAGAGGTGTGCATGAGGGTTTGGGGGAGCATCTATTCACCAAGGCCCCCAGGGGAGGACAAGAAATAATGGGCACAAGCTGATTGAGGATTGCTTCAGGCTAGACATAAGGAAAAACTTCTTTACAAATCAAGTGCCGAGGGTTTGGAACAGGTTCCCCCCCAGAAGTGGTACAGTCATCCACCCTGGCGATCTTCAAAAAATGTCTTGTTGCCCATCTTGCTGGGGTCATCTGATCACAGCAGTCTTTCCTGCCCATGTGCAGGGGGGCTGGACCTGATGATCTGTCAGGTTCCTCTATGATTCCAGCCCCTAACATCTATGAAACTGAATTTTTCCCATGTACCTTCCAGAGATGTCTTGTGTACCCCTAGGGGTACGCGTACCAGTTTGGGAACCCCTGATCTAGAACACTCCATGATGGCATTTGTAGTTAGCACCAGAAACTTATCAGCTGCAAACAAGCAGCTGAAACCAGTTCATCTTCACTGTGGCTGCTCTTTAACAACTTAAACTAGAGCAGAGTTGGACAGAGATATTTGCATGTGTAAAAGCAAATAGTTGCTACCAGAAACATTATCTGAGGAGATACATTCATCTAGTCAGGGAAAGGAAATGATGCCACATGAAGCAAAAGTCTTGCCAAAACCATCTGGACTTCGTAATTTAGCAGTGACCTTGGAGACTTAGGAGTTATTCTACAAATTGTTTTGGATAATGCCTAAACTGTAAATATGCTAAGATAAACCCAGCTCTAGGTGCAGTTCTACTAGTAGCAAGGTGCTTTTTTATGCTTCTTCATATAATAGAATAAGCTATGCTAGGATAAGCTCTTTTATACCAATCCCTATATAGTTATGCCCCTTGTATCATACTACTCTGCAGTTAAATTAATACAAGTTTCTAGTGCAGGTAAGCTATGGCACTAGCTCAGATTTGCTCTTCTGGCTCTGACAGATTAATACCGATTCACACCATCTGAGTATCTTGGTCCTTGAGGTCAATAGAACAGTGCCCTTTTCCTCCAGCTAGGGTTCTGCCTTAAAATTTCAATCAGTTGATGCTGATTTACAAATTGATGTTGATTCTGACCAGTTGGAGATCTGGCTCTACTGACTGAAAGCTGGCAAAGGACTGGATGACTCAAGGACAAGGGTCATGCAAATGAAACAAAATGGAAAGCTGTGCATTGGGAGCTAATAAGAAAAATTTCTGATACAAACTGGGAGGGGATCAACTGGAAATTACAAAGGAAGAGAAGGACTTGGGTGTGCGAGCTCATCACACGATGATTCTGAGCTGCAAATCTGATGGAGCTGTGAAAAATGCTATCGCGGTCCTAGGATGTACAAAGAAAGTGATTTCCAAAGAAGTTAGGGAAATATTAGCCACTTTATGTGAGGCACTGTTAGGCTTCATTTGGAGCACAGTGTACAGTTCTGGTTACCACTGTTCAAGAAGTGTAAACTCAAGCTAAAGCGGATGCAGAGCATGACCAGGGAAATGAAAAGCCTGTTTTATGAGATAATACAGGAAGTCGACTTTCACTTTCTGAGCCCGAGACTGAGGGGATATGATCACTGTCCATAAATACATCAAGGTATTACATAATGAGGAGAAAAGGTATATAAGGTAATGGAAAATGTTGACACAAGAGTGCAAGAGTCAGAATGGTTCAAAAATAACTTTAGTCAAAAATTAAAAAGCACCACTGTTACCCAAATCCAAGATGACTTTGAATTTAAGATGTCCCCACCCCTCCATCATTACATTCTGTAAACGGAAAATTATAAATGTATTTATAATTTCCCATGTATAAAATCTAATTAGTAGAAGCTCATATTAAATTCACCCCCCCTCCCCCACAGGCACACTTATGTGGTGGGGAAAGCAGCAGCGGGAGGTGAGGGGCCAAACCCCCGCCCCTTGCTCCCCTGCCCTTTGCCATCCTTGGCTGACCTCCCTGCACCTTGCCTCACCAGTGCCTGCCCTGCTGCTATGTGCCCCTCCATGCCAGTGGAAATATTTAAGAGCAGGTTAGACAGACACTTGGCTGGGATGGTTTAGTCAGGGATGAATCTACCTTGTTTAGGGAGCTGGACTAGATGACTTGCAAGGTCCCTTCCAGCCCTACTTTCCTATGATCCTATGTCAAGGCTTATAACTCTGCTTATGAGGCTTATAACTCTCAGACACTGTTCAAACACAGTTTAGTCTTGCAGCATAGAGAAGACTTGAAAGGGTTGGCTTCCAAGACCTCTACTCTAACCTTGGACACTTTATGGGAAGCAGGCTATGCCGTGTAAATGTTATGGTCACCTTTTAGCTCTTGTCTACACTGCATATTATTGCCTGGAACTGACTGCCTTTTTGTTCACTGAAGATTGCTAACACACTGCAAAGACTGATCTAGACTGGGCATAAATATTTGTGGTTGTAAATCTTAAAGGAAAAAAACCTGTTTTAATTTAGTCAACGAAGGGCTTCAACTAGTTCACACTGGGAGCATCTACATGAGACGTTTACTGTGGAGCTGCCTAATTGGCTCTGCAGTAAAGTCTCCACATCTACACATGCAGCCCTATTAGATCACAGTAAACTAATAAACAGCATCAGCATCATAGGTTAGTATCTGTAAATACAAGTACTACCCTGCAGCAGTATTTAGTGCGTGGCAGTGCATGTGTCGACGTTGATAGGGCTGGCTGGGGCACGAGGGTGCTTCAGTGCAGGAGCTGCCTACCAGCTAGCCCCATGCTGAAGCACCCTTGTGCTCCAGCCACCCCCTCCACAGCACATTGAGCTGGGGCTGGAGCAGCTCTGGACTAGCTGGATCTCCTGTTAGCTGGGGCTGCTCCAACTTGGCTCAACATGCTGAGGTGGCAGGTGCACATGTAAACATGGTGCCTGGGAGCAATAAACTCCAGTGCAATATGCAGTGGAGTTTAATGCTTCACATTAATTGCATATGTGTATACCCACTAGCATGGGATCTGGCCCATGTCCTATTGCTGTCATGCCATGTGCTTCCCCAATGAGCTAAACTCTGCTAACAACAGAGGAGCTGTGCCTGCTGCCATTAGCGGCCTGATTTCAGCATTGATTTAATTCACGCCACAACAATTTGCAGCTTCTAGGTGTTTCTCCAGTGTTTTACACAGTAATCTAAATTGGAACAGCGGAGAATCCTAAAGCGATAACTGCTTGATTTTATTTTTTTTTAAATAGGGGAGATTTTTCTTCTTTTAATTATTTGGTGATCTTCACCAATACACACAGAAGTACTTATGCTTATGCAGACAGCAGTTTGGACACTATGTGTATTTATATTTGCATACACAAAAATCCAGCAAATAAATGTGTACACCTAAGCCCCTGCCACATGTTAAATGTAGTATGCAATGATCTGGTTAATCATACAATACATTGACACCAGCCCACATGCAAAGTAATGATTACTTACCATGTAAATTGACTCCAGACTATGCACCCTGCCACAGGTTCAAATTATAGCTGGACTGAAATCAGCTATGAAGTTGTTACACATTTTCAAGCACTAACTCTGTAGCTGACTGCCTTTTTTATAACTGGATGGACATTTTTATGGTGTGATAATTACTTTACACGTATGGCTGGTCTAAATGTGTTGAGCAATTAACCAGTTAATTGCTGGATGGATATTTTTATGGCGTGATAATTACTTTGCATGTGTGGCCAGTCTAAATTTATTGCATGATTGACCAGTTCATTGCATAACATATGTAATGTGACAAGAACCATAGACTCAAATCACAATGGTAGCAAGCACAGCCCTGAACACAGAAATAGCAATATGCATGTTAAAAAAGCAATGCACATACATAAATACACAACTCTCTACATTGGTGCACATGTAAACATGCAATCACTTAGAAAAGAACAGCATGCAACTACATGCCGTCACACTCCTGGTATGTAACTCACCTAACCAGAGCTTACCTATCCACTCAATGGTACACAAAAGATCCTTGCACATCTTCATGCACCAAATGCATACAGTTATACGCACTGCACAATTCCCGCAGTGCCCACATCTGCACACTACTCCCCTTTTTAAACCCTGCTATGTGAACTGATTTCCAGTCATCTTGTCTTTACCTGATCGTCTTGTCAGTCCCTTTCCTGGTGATGGTGGAGGGCACAGCCAGTTCCCATACAGTTCGTGCTCAGCCATGGTTCCTTGCTGGAGACCAGAGGCTCAGGAGTACTGATGTCAAGTCAGATCCAGACCAAGACGCAGAACTCTACCGTATATGAGGGGCATCCCACTTTCTTGCTCTTAACATCTCACTTGGGACACTTGTTCAGCTCTCTTTGTTTCACTTCCTCTCTCTGCAAGGGGTGGGATGAATAACATCATGCAAATCACCGGCAAAGCACTATGACAGATTTCTAAACCCAACATGTATGGTCAATTCCCAATCCATATCTCATGCCTAGGACTAGTAGAATGAAAGCATGGCTGGAAACATGGATGATGCCATTTCCACACAACTGCTGCACTGAAATCTAAGCCAAAGGGAATTTTGCTGTGGGCTTGCATGGATTTGGTAGTTGGTTCTCAGGATGACATCCGTAGCTAGCATAAAAATGTATTGCTTCAATGACATTAATGGAGCAATGTATACATATACCAGCTGGGGATCAGATTGATTTCAGTGAAATGATGCTAATCTGTAGCAGCTGGAGTCCTGGCTTTAGGATGGAATTCACTCTGTGGAGTCAGCATGAGGCCTAGGTATGACTTAAATCCCATTGACCCACTCTATACCCCGTGCCATTGGGCACAGCAGTAATTCAGGGAGACCTGGAAAATGTGGAGGCTCTTATGTGCCATGTAGTTCAGTCATACCACAGTACCTCTGTGGAAGTGCAGGGTAAAACATTAGCTGGGAGAGGGATCAGTGATTGGGTGGCTAGTGGGTCGCTGAACTGCATGAATCTCTTAAGAATATGGAAATTGCTAAACTGTATCAAATCTCTGTTCTTTTTAGTCCAGTTTCCATTGCAGCTACTCCTATGGTCCTGAGAAAATCCCAGCTGTACAGTTCAGCAATTTTGGAGTTCCCTCAGCCAAAACATCGGGTAGAAGCAAGAACATACTTCCCCATCATGGAGTTCTGGCTTTGGGCTGGAGACCACATTTTCACTCCAAGTCCCAAAGAACACCATAGTTGCACAGCTGAGAAGAATAACATCTCTGGCAAGGGATGTCTGCAACACTGGCCTCTGCCATGTGTGGACATCAGTCATGTTGTAAGCTGGACTAGTGGAAATGCAGCTTTCATGGCTTTTATTTCCCAGGCCTTGGGCTAATTTTCTTCAGGGAGGTCCACTTCAACCACTCTGCAGTAGGGAATTCCAGTTCCATAATGCCCAGCAGTTCCCTAGAGGAGGTAGCTTGACAGATTCTGTCTGATAAGGGCTGGGTCATAGGATAGTGCTGCATGGTAGCAGCTGTCAGTTTATTTTATAATAAGATCTTCACTGATGCAGCAAACCACAATGTAGCTAGGAAGGGGAGGGAACTAGAAGAGGATGTGTTTGCACCTGTTAATATTCAGATGCATTTGGTAAGTCCCAGCAATCATCATCCTGTGTAATGAGTTGTGTTCTGATAATTAAGAAGGGCATAAGGTTAAGATGATAGTCAGGTTATCGTAAGGCAGCAATATTTCCTCTTACCAGGCACACCTGCCCCTTGGACTACAGCTGGAGTTGTGCCGATGCATTCTAGAACCTGCCTGCTCCCTAGTGCCCAGCATTGCTGCTTGAAGCAGGGGCTCAGTGATACTTTCCGAGTGCGGTGAACTGCATTGTGGGATCGCCTTGTCCACTGCAGTACAGGGAAGCTTCAATGTCTGTTTTCCAAGTATACTATAAAGAAACCAGCAGCAAGATACAGGAATAGGAGCTAAAGTCCTTGTCTGATGCTTTGCAAGCAGTTAGGATAACCAACCTTTGGAAGCATGTAGAAGGCCTTGGTGGGGTCATGAGCTGAAGTCTTCCTTGACTTGATTCATATTAGGTGCCCTATTGGATTGAGCAATGATGTTTTCCTTGGCTCATTATTTTCCCTACCAAGGGACCAGGACCTAAGCACTTATTACTAAAGAGTGCAGCCAAATGGATAGATTCCACCTTGTCACCCTGAGGTAAATCTGGAGTCACACTGCTGATTTCCAGGACGTGACTCCGAATTTGCATCAGTTTAACTGAAGTTACAATCTGACCTGAAGGTCCTTTTCTCCCTTGCCAGAGATGTTATTCTTCTCAGCTATGCAGCCATGGTGTTCTTCGAGGATTGGAGTAAAAGTGTGGTCTCCAGCCCAGAGCCAGAACTCTGTGATGGGAAAGTATATTTCGGCTTCTAACTGATAGTAACTTGGGCAGCAGCGACCACGAGATGATTGAGTTTAGGATTCCAAGGAAAGGAACAATGGCAAACAGCAGAGTAAGGACCCTGGACTTCAAAAAGCAGACTTCAACTTGCTCAGGGAACTCATGGACAGGATCCCCTGGGAAGCCAGACAAGGGAAGAGGAGTCCAGGAGAGCTGGCTGTACTTTGAAGAAGCCTTACTGAGAATGCAGCAACAAACCATCCTGATGCACAGGAAGACTAGAAGTATGGCAGAAGACAAGCTTGGTTTAGTCGAGAACTCTGGACAAATAACTAGGGAAGAATATAAGAGCATTGCAAGGGCATGCACGGGTGAAGTCAGGAAGGCCAAAGAGCAACTGGAGTTGCAGCTAGCAAGGGATGTGAAGGGGAACAAGAAGGGTTTCTACAAGTATGTCGTAGCAAGAGGAGGATCAGGGAAAGTGTGAGTCCCTTACTGATTGGGGGAGGCAACCTTGTGACAGAGGCTGAGGAAGAGGCTGAAGTGCTCAATGCCTTTTTCACCTCTGTCTTCACAGGCAAGGTCAGGTCCCAGATTAGTGCACCAGGCAGCACAGTTTGGGGAGGAGGTGAGCAGTCCTCAGTGGTGAAACAACAGTTTAGGGACTACTTAGAAAAGCTATATGTGTACAAGTCCATAGGGCCAGATAGGATGCACCCAAAGGTGCTGAGGGAGTTGGCTGATGTGATTGCAGAGCCATTGGCCATCATCTTTGAAAACTCATGGTAATCAGAAGAGTCCTCAGACGATTGGAAAAGGGCAAACATAGTGCCCATATGTAAGACAGGGCAAAAGGAAGATTCAGGGAACTACAGACCAATCAGCCTTACCTCAGTCACTGGAAAAATCATGGAGCAGATCCTCAAGGAATCCATTTGTAAGCACTTGGAGGAGAAAAGGATGCTTAGGAGCAGTCAGTATGGATTCACCAGGGGCAGGTGATGCCTGACCAACCTGATTGCCTTTTGTGATGAGATGACAGACTCTGTGGATGTGGGGAGACTGGTGGATGTGGTGTATCTTTATTTTAGCAAGGCTTTTGATATGGTCTCCCACAACATTTTCACAGGCAAGCTAAGGAAGTGCGGGCTGGATGAATGGACTGTAAAGTGGACAGAAAACTGGCTGGATCATCAGGCTCAGTAGTAATCAATGGCTTGATGTGTAGTTGGCAGCTGGTATCAAGTGGAGTGCCCCAGGGGT